TGCGGCGTGTCCGTCGCGCGCCCGCCTTGTTGTGTATTGTTGTGATTATAGTATTCGTTCTTTCCTCATCTTGTACGCAGGGTGGGAGTCTTGAAGTGGCCTTTTGAAGTATATTATGTTCTAAGCCATTGCGTGACCAGGTAAAGGTACCTGATGTGTTACCTGATAACTCCCATTTCTTTACGTTTCCAGCACAACTAATTTACCGAGCGGCGCCCCGTTCAACGATAAAATCTCAATTGTTATCGACAAATCTAAGAAGAGTGGCCTAATTCTGGACGGTTCCTCCGTGTAAGTTTTTTTTTCTTTCTACACATTTTAACTTAGAAACTCATATTTACTGTTGTGTCTATTTGAGTTTCTGTGTGCTGCGCAGAGAAGTATAATATATGGGTAAGAGTGTGCATGTGTGAGAGACAGAAAAAAAGAAAGGGACAAGGAGACAGAGAGGCAGACAGAGAGGGGAGACAGACAGACAGACAGACAGACAGACAGACAGACAGACAGACAGACAGACAGACAGACAGACAGACAGACAGACAGACAGAGGGGGGGGGAGGGAGAGATAGAAATAGAAAGACAGAGGTAGGGAGAGAGTGGAAGTAACAAAGTATCTATTCATGTATCTATTAAGAAACAATATTTATGTTTATTCTCGAATTACGTAACGTATTGTTTTTCTTCATCAATACCATCGTTATAATATAGTACGAAAATGCGGTTTACAGTTCTTCTAATGTATCATAATTGTCTGTTATGCTTGCACGTAACCATAACTTTTTTCAGCTCTAAACTACCACTGGAATGTATGTCTTTCTGTCCTATACCTCTGCTCTCTCTCTCTCTCTCTCTCTCTCTCTCTCTCTCTCTCTCTCTCTCTCACACACACACACACACACACACACACACACACACACACACACACACACACAAACTCACTTCTGTTTGGTCCTCCCCCAGCTCTTCCTCCTGGTCGTCTGTGACTGGCAGCAATAAGTGGCAGCAGACGTGGCTGTACGTGAACCCAGGCAGTCACAACCTGTACCACTCTGACCCCACGGTGACCTTTATGGCTCTGGCTACGGGCACAGAGCGCTACAACAGCTACGCCTTCATCGCCGGGACTAGGATGGCTCAGATCAACACTGTGAGTGCTCAGCAAGAGCTTTGTTTGTTCTGGTTAGCGTTGTACAGCACTTGCAATGCATTTAGGTCATACAAGTGCCAACGATTAGAGGTGTTATAAGAGAGTAGCAAACGCACAAAAGAAAGAGTAAGAGATAAGGACGATTTATGTCTGATAAGAAAGAAGGACAAAACCAAACCAGAGCACCTGCCAACCTCCCGCATCAAGTAGTAAAGGACAGTCAATAATTGCCTTTTTGTTTATTTAATATCATAAGCAGTGGCATTTTTTCTGGTTTTGCCTGGGAAGGGGGGGGGGGGGGGGGTTCGTGTTTAGTTGCAAGAAAATTTTCCCCACAGAGAAAGAGAGAGTGAGAAACAAAGAAAGAAGAACGGGGAGAGAGAGAGAGAGAGAGAGAGAGAGAGAGAGAGAGAGAGAGAGAGAGAGAGAGAGAGAGAGAGAGAGAGAGAGAGAGAATGAGAGAGAACGAGAGTGGGGGAAATGGGTGGAAGGGGTGATCGGCAAATCGGTATGAAGATTCACAGAACTTTATACATAAAGAGACAGAGTGACAGAAATATGGATAGAGACAAAAGTGATTGAAAGCAGGGGCGAAGGCTGACCTGTTTGACAGTGTATTCAAAGTGAAACGGGACCAGATATGGCCTGTAGATATCACACAAGAATCTTACTCGAGGGGGGACTGTGAGTTGTGAATGAAAACAAATTCAGAATTCATTTTGTATGTTCAACCGCCAAAATAATCGGGAAAGTATCTTATTAAATATCAGTTCCAACTAAAATTAAATTTAACTTTAGATGTGAATACACAAACACAAAGCAAAGAAGCAGAGATGTCAGTACTAGATCTATATTATGTTATAGATCTACCAGTGAGTCTAACTCTTTGGTAGAACATGACAATTATCATTTTTTAAATTTCACATTTTGGCTGTTTTTGTTAGTCTTTCGGCTGGTGTCATAATCGAGGTCACGATCTGATTATAGGACGGTAAAAAGTCGAGGAAAAATAACAAGCACATGCAGCAGTCAAGAGATTATTAGGAGTAAGTTCCCCTCACGTAGATCACGTTTGTGGGGTAGACTCGACCAGTGTAATAGTTAGCTTACATAATCAGGGCTTGCGATTGATTATAACTGTGGCCCCAAAGGGGTGAACAGGGTATATGTGGCAATGAAACAGCTTTGACTGCAGCAGCTGCTATGCACATGTTCCCTTCAACTCTATTGGTAGACTCTTCCAGCCTTACTTTAAGCTTACTTAATCAAAGCTTGCGACTGCTTATGGAGTGGCCCGAGAGGGGTGAGCAGGCTATTTCTGTGACCGTGAAACCGTTTTTAATGTTAGGCATACTGTTCATTGTTGATTATGAACGTCTTTTTACCTTTAATTTATGAGGTTTACGTTTATAGGTGACTTTGACAGCGACAACGTTTCAAAATTAGAAAGGGAAGCAGTGATTATTTGATTATATAGACGCTTCGCCCCTGACTGAAAAACAAATAGAATCAGATAAACAAAAGGAGGGACAGGGAAGGACTGTAAACATGACTGATATATTTGTTTTAACAGTTACTTCTGTTTTCACTGCCTCAACGAAACAGTCAAATCATCTTATATCTGCATTAAAAGAAAGACTAGGCAAACTGTCCACATTTAAGTTGGTCTTTTCGTCTCAGATCTACTTTGAAATTTAAAAAATGATCGTGCTCAGTTTATAAAATAAATTCGTAAAACAGCGTAAGCTTATTATTATTTTATTTTATTAATTTTTTTTTATTATTCTGATTTCTTGTGTTTTATTAGACTGTTTGTAGGCAAATGATACCATTTAAGAAAAGAGGAAAGAACCAATTGGATTTCATTTCGAATACTGATAGATTCTTTTTCCGTGGAGGAAGGGCCCTCGAACCCGGGGGGGGGGGGGGGGGGTTGGGGGTGGAATGTTTTTTGTTTTCGGCATTTATGTTTTGTATTGCTAATGGTTTGTTAGCTTTTCATGGGTATTTGCTTGGGGTTTGGGTTGTTGGGTTGTTGTTGTTGGGTTTTTTTTTGGGGGGGGGGGGTG